CAACAAGGACTGGTCGGCTCGGAGTCAGTATAATGTGTCTGAATGGGGTATTCATGCTTCACTGCGGCATGGTATCTCAGTGGGCTAGCACTATAAAACCAGCTTATGTCTGGGCTAGTACAAGCAGCCGCACATACACACGCATGCACGTCGTCATATGAGCGAAATATTCTCAAGCACGACGTTAAACCAAATTTCACCTCACCTCACCTCACCGTATTTCACAAATTTAGCTTATCTGAAACTCTGGCAGAGTGAGTGAGTGAGTTTAGTTTTACGCCGCTTGTAGCAATATTCCAGCAATATCACGGCGGGGGACACCAGAAATGGACTTAACACATTGTGTCCATGTGGGGAATCGAACACGGGTTTTCGGCGTGACGAGCGAACGCCTTAACCACTAGGCTACCCCACCGCCCCCTGGCAGAGTGAAGACGTAGTGAAGAGAATACGTATTGATTGATATCACTTTAAGCAGATCTACCGTTCTCGTGATATATATTTATATATAACGTCATTCTATGTAGGCTGTGTCCACTGATAATTTTAACGAAATTGCAGCAGCATAACTGGCTCGTCAGGTTCCGTAGTTCTTATAGATAGAGAACATCATTTATAACAAGAGTCATCACAAGATGACAAATCCCCCCTGCCCCTACACTTTTGAAAGAACAAATCATCTGACAGTTACTTTCAGTCCAACTTGGCTTTTTTAGACTAAGTCCAAAGTGATTCCATGGAAATCGAAAAATTAAAATTACAAACATCAACAAATAGCAAAAGGCATCATTTCAGGATCTGTTTGATATACATGTATCTGCCAAATTTTGTTTGTTTTCGTGTTGTGCTCCGGAAACGAAGCACACCCCTCCCTTTTGAGACAAAGTCCAAATCGTTTCCATGGAAACCGAAAAATATCGGCGATAAACATCAGTGGTCTAAATACAATCCATACATAGATTGTTCCAATTGAATACAAAATTCATAATGTTTACTACCTACCATAACAATACAAACCAAATAGATATTAACAACAATATTTCGTGTTTTTTCTTAAAACATGTCACCTAAATGCAGCTTTTATGGAACAAGTGTGTGGACATCACATACAGCCTGATGCGCATCTTCCTTCTGGACCGAATTCCAGGGTGAACTCACGCTAGACTGATATTACGTCATCAAAGGTTTCATAATATCTGTGAATAGCTATGACAGTGACCACTATCAAAGTCCGTACCCTGTTGAGGATGGAACACAACCTGTACACAAACTATCAATACCTACAGGGCGGATACATCTTTTTGAGAAAGGAGTGGTGCATACTATTGAGAAAAGGGAGGGTGCACACTTCATTTTCACCAGAGTTACAATGGTCATGTAATAAACTTTCAGGACAAGAAGGGGTGGTGTGCGCGACTCTTGACACCCCCACCCCAATGACCTAGATAACTAGAATGACAGTACAAATACGCAGGATACGTGATGATGGACAATTCGGCACACGACCTACTGTCGTCTGGGAAGTTTTGCAAAACGGTTCCGTATTTAAACTTCCTCATTGCATAAAGCTGCCCACTTGAATTTTCTCATAACCGGACATAACCTGACGAGCTGAGGCGTGACAGACCTTCCACCGCGTGTTTATAAACATGGCGGCGTTTATCAGTACAGATAGCCTTGATCCAAGTCAGTACTGAACGACAGGTCCATGTACTGTACATGTCTCCCGACATTAGGAAAGTCTCGGTAAGCGCACATTACGCTGAGGCGGCCATTCTCTTTAAGGGAAAGCTTGTTCCTATAATACATAGGATATCTACAAACGTTCACTAAACTTATAATCACTGCCCCGGAGACTCGTGCAAGTATCCGGTTCAAGCTACAACCGCTGTGACAGAGCCGGGTCATTCATAAATCAGTGTGCGTGGGAGGGAATGGAATGTGCGAGCTGGTCTCGCGTGCCGAACACCGTTCACGTGCTGTGGTTGGGCTGTCAATGTGGTTTGTGTGTCGATAAACCGCTTAGCCACAGCCGTATAAATATCATTATCTGGCAAGATTGTAAAACGGTATAAACATCAGACGGCATTAGAGTAAGACAAGTACGATGTTCAACAAGATAACCCATTCCAGTAGAACCATCGTAATCCGTGAAAAGTATGTGATGGCATGTCATTCTCATTTCTTTGTTACCCATTCATCCAAATGAAAGGTTTGGTTGGTTTGTTGGTTAACGCCCCACTCCAGCAATATTCCAGCTATATGGCGGCGGTCTGGAAATAATCGAGTCTGGACCAGACAATCCAGTGATCAACAGCATGAGCATCTACGCAATTGAGATACTATGAGGTGTGTCAACCACGTCAGCGAGCCTGACCACCCGTTGGTAGTTGAAGACCAATTCTAACCCGGCTCTTCACGGGTACACGAGGAAAGCAAAGTCATTGTTGAAAAATTTGCTATAAAAAGGTGGGACAAATTGATCTTATAGGAGACGATAGACCCACCCCAACCCCCTTCCTATCAAAATATCCTAGGTTGAAACATAAAGAGTATGAAAGTGAATACAAATATACAGGAAGATGTGTAGTGTAGCTTTGTTGTGTGTGTACGTGCGTGCGTGCGTGCATGGGTGCGTCGCGCCAATGACTTGTCAGGAACGACCCGGGACGGCGTGTGGGAAGTCGGTCGAAACACCACGCTTCAGTGCAGGTTCCGAGTTCCTACTGACAAGGCTAGAGCGGGATAACATCCGCTACCACAGTATAGGTTCAGATTACACGGAGAGCAATATAATTCATTTCATTTCGAATGATGCTGGAAGTTACATAATATTCACATGCACAACAGATCGCCATTCCTCGAGGGCCCAGTACACGTAGGCTAATCCACTACAGTTTTGTTATGACTTTATATACATATCCTTTGAGAAAAAAGGATCATGATGTTATCAATCGTATCACTAAATTTACTGTGATAATAAGTAGCTGAATATACTCGTGTTTCCAAGGACTAAAGAACAGTACGGCGGTCTGCATGTTATGGCAGTTTGTATCCTTGTGGCGATTTCCTGATATAAATATATATCTACTGACTAGAAAGACGATTCCTCAGTTCTACAGCATTGGAGAGATGCCAGAAAGTCAATCCAATTAAATAGGGCAGCATTATTATTTTCTGTGTTTTCTCATCCCCGAGACCGACCCTTTTAATTTATTGCCGACCTCCTCCCCCACCACCAAATAACAACTTTTTTTCTCATGCCAACACCGCCAACTCGAACCTAAAACGTACCGTCTCGTCATATAAAATGTTTATCTTTAAATCAGTCGCTGCCACAAGTCCAAAGAATGCGAGAAATAAGAATTACAAAAATGAGAATCAAGAACATTATTCTGAATCTTGTCTTTATTCCGTTGGGGTTTATTCCCAGTCCGACCGACCCATGTTCAGAATTTGGTGGCTATGTGAAACATAAAAAAATGATGCCCACACGTAAAATCGGATACAGCTAGTGAGGGTGTGAAACAATGAAATTGTAAAACGTCAGATTTCACAGTCCCTGAACCACATTATTTTCCTTCCCACCCAGACCTCCATGACCACCCACACCTCCCTACAATTCTGCATCGTCAGATGACCAATGCTGATAGGGAAATGCCAGAGACAACGCTAGTTCAGTGTATTTGAATCTGAAAACAATTAGGGTTCCCTTTCGAAATTATTTCGCGGAAAGACTCGCATAGCTATAAATAAGTCACCGACGTAATCTCAGTATCTGTTCCTACATGTGTAAGCTTGTGCCAGGTGCACTATATATTTTCAGTACACGTGTACTCACTCGTCCCTGAACTAAGATCTGAGACGGAGAGATGTTCTATTTTGTTAATAAATAGCACTGTAGCTGAATAGCGATGTTAAATTGTGACTCAAAGTGTGAGTTAGTGAGTGAGTTAAAATTTATAGTCACATCTATTTCAGCTATACAAACCTAGGAAGGTGTCACGATACACCTGTACGATACGTATGAATCACGCGATACGTATCGCGATACATAATTCGCACCTTTTCATAGCATTACCTTACCGGCAACGTAGTGTGAGTTAGTGAGTGAGTTAAAATTTATAGTCACATCGGCAATATTTCAGCTATATCGTGAATAAACCTGGTAATACGTAACAATACATAATATTCCAGTGTAAAATCAGTCGACGAAGGAAAAGCGTAACGAAGATATATCTCGAATACTTACGTTTGATTTGATATGTACATAATTACTTCATATGAGCAATTATTGATTATATCTTAAAATGTATCTGCAGCTCACTTTTATCTGGCCCTCTATTTAAGACGAAATGTTTCCAACTTTCATGTGGTCGGGTTATCTGGTCTTGCAAGTCATGTGGAGTTACGTCCCTTGAAACAGACCGTACACTTGCAAATACATGGACAAGGACGAGTTGAAAATAAATATATTTTAGGAAGAATCATAACACAAACCAAATGACGTCATATATCATAAGATGAATCTCAGAATGTACCCGAATACCATGCAATTGCAGAAAAACACTTTAGAAATTCTGTCATCATGTCTATTTATAGAGATCACGCGGTTCCTCTCTCCAGTCCCGTTAGCCGGCCTCGCGACCCGGTCTTCCGTGACCTGTGCCTACCAGCGTTAACATCTTAATTTCACGTTTGACCACTAAGCAACGTTAAGTGCATGTCCATGTGGTCATTGATACCAAAACATAACATTTACTACACTCGACTAAGCCGTTATGTTCGCTTTGACCGGCAAATATTAGCAAAAGGCATATTTTGACAGTTTGCCAAACACGTGGTATGTGATTGCATCATATAGACTGTGCAGCTCTATATTCTTGTAAGATGCAAATATGACATGCTGCAAATACGTGATTTGTTTATGTACGGTTGTAAGTTTCGATCATGCATTTAATGCAATATGATTCAGTTTTATTCATCACCATTTGACCTACCCGGGCACTTTGCAAGACATTCGTCGGCAGTCCCTGTGATATCCTTGAATGCGCATATATGAGCGCAGGGGTCGCACTGTCCGGTCCCGAAGTCCTTGTAGGTCCCCGGAGGGCAGATCAGATCCCTCTGACCTCCCTCGGACAGACTAATGGCTCCAAGAATGACCGTTACAGCTGCGAATTTCGTCATCTCTCAGACTAACAAGCAACACCTCTCACTCTGTCAAACGATTTGGCGCGGAGAGCACAGCTATCCGGTGACGTGCGGCGTTTTCATTGGCTGATGATGACGCACACCCATACGCGTGATATATCTACTTACCGGTTTGTCGCGTCTTTAAAAAGAAAATGTGTAAGTTGTCTATTCACGTGTTTGTTTGCCTGTTGTTTAACGCCGCAGTCAGCAGTATTCCAGCTATATATCACATGTGTACCTTAAAAAATGTGCAAATAAAAAATAGAAAAATTATTCTAGCTATATGACGACAGTCTGTAATTAGTCAAGTTTGGTCCAGACAATTTAGTGATTGATATCACGAACATTGATCTACGAAATTGGGATACGATGGAATGCGTCCTTATTTTACAGCTGCTGCTGTACCCTGACTGACGAGTAATTTGTTAAGTGAGGAATCCCACTCAGCACTCATGATGGTAATCATGTTCTTTATCAAGGTACGAGCTATTCCAGAGTATATATGTTCCAACGCAAGGTATCGTAGGTAACAAAATCTTACATACGGACATAAGGACATACAGTAGGCTGGGGGTATAGTGTGGGTTTCATAGGCGGATCCAGAGTGAGGGGGTTGGGTGTGGGTGTGGGTGTTCTACCCCTCCTTTTGTCCAGAAAGTTTGTTATATGACCATTGAAACTCGGGTGGAAATGAAGTGTGCACCCCCCCTTTTCTCAGTAGTGTGCACCGCCGCCCTTCTCAAAAAGCTGTATCCGCCCCTGGGTTTTGAGAAAAATACTGAAGCAAAGACAGTAATGCCGAACAAGTTCCACCTGAACTGAGGCATTGAGATAGCGTTGGAAAGGGAGGCAACTCCTTTGGCCCTATTACTTTAGTAACCCCGCGTAAATAAGTATAAGTGTTGCGCATACAGGTGATGTTCGAGAGCGAGTAGTAGCGACTGATAACAAGAGGCAGTTTATTTTTTGGATGACTTCAAAACAAACAACCATATAATTACAAACAAATTTTAATCAATATAAGATTGAATGATTCGACCAAAATCATCGCCAGCTAAGAGTGAGTGAGTGTAGTTTTACGCCGCTTGTAGCAATATTCCAGCAATATCATAGCGGGGTACACCAGAAATGGGCTTCACACATTGTACCCATGTGGGGAATCGAACCCGGGTCTTCGGCGTGACGAGCGAACGCTTTAACCACTGGGCTCAAATGAATGCAACATAACGATTTCAATACAAAATAACATATGAAACGAAAATAAACACAGAACATGATCACAAATATGATCAATTAAAAAGAACAGATACCACGCATATATTGCGTAAGATCAGATGTTTGAAAGCTTGCTGGAGGCATCAACCGAACAGAATATACTGCCAGCCTTTGGAGTATTTTGTATGCTACGTTACATTCTTATTAAGCACTATATATATATAGAATAGACTAGTATTATTCCAATTAGGTACATAATAGCATTTCTTGGAGTGTGTTGTCTCCATGGTATTTAAATTGTTTGCAAAACTTTAAATGCTTGTCCAGAGACGGTTTAAATCCTGCTTTGAACAGTCACGGGGTGAAATTTTGAAGATTTTTATTTTGTTTGTTTTTTTGTTTTACAATTATAGTTACACCACAAGAGCACGAGTATTGTATTAAGCCTAAGCACAAAATCAGGGTTTATCGGGTAACGAAGCCACGAACACACGTTCCTGCCACACCAAAGGGGCGTAACTCTACATGGCGAAATGCGGCGCTGCAGACGACTGGGCTTCTCGTGGCCCTCTTTGCTAATGACTATTTGTTTATATCCCCCTAGGGAATGGTAACATTTATTAATATGCTCATGATCATTTTACGGTACCGGTATCGTAGGTTCATGACAACTTCATGATCGATATACATCAACTGATGAAATAGTGAAAGCTAACAATCATTAGCCTTGAGGGGAACATTTGTTAATGAAGGTTTGGGTATCATCCAACAAAACAAACACAGAAACCCACGTAAATTCAACCTTCAGGCTACATTTTGTTCACTCGTGGTCTACAAAATCCACCGATTCCCCAAAACTGAAACGTGACAAAATGAAAAACATCGGATTATTATCTCGCAACCAGGAATAAGTTAAAGAAAGTTCGCAAACTTTACTTCACTATCGATATACCATAATTATAATTCGTTGAAAAAGTATTTAAAAATTACCAATCTATATCTACTTGACATTTTGAGGAAATCAAAATATTCAAAATAGGACTCTGTATTCTTTTTGTCACCTACCGACATGAATTCCACAAACCAGGACTAGTCTGACTCTCTGTCAACCACTGCGTGTGTTGTCCTTGACATTGTATGTTATTGGGTTGGGATCGGCATGATGGAATTAAAAACGTTAATGCCTACCGGTAATAAAATCCATTTATGAAAAGCAAACACATGAATTGTAGCAAGCTACAGGTTATAGAACTGAGACAATGTTTCACATCAGCGTCAGCAATAAATACACATCAACAGAACAGAAGAGGAGAGGCATACATAAAACGGTATTGCTATTGACATTACACAACCATTGTTCCGCCTTAGTAGGCTATTATATTCTTTATTGTCATAATCAATGCATATAACAATTTGCCGTAACCCCAGACTTTTCTCCGGGGTGAGCAGAGTGACTAGTATTATTAAAATAAACTGGTGATCCATGAAAGTGGGTACAATATCAAACAACAATCACACCGTTAAGTCTAAGGTAGTCACCGATCGGTCATTTAAAGAGCTGTTTAGTCCCTCTTAATATTTTTAATACTGATCGATTGAGTGTGATTATGGTTTTACGCCGCTTTTAGCAATTTTCCAGCAATATCACGGCGGGGGACACCAGAAATGGGCTTCACACATTGTACCCATATGGGGAATCGAACCCGATTCTTCAGCATGACGAGCGGACGCTTTAGCTTTAACCATTATGCTACCCCAGCGCCACTAACTATTGAGGGTGAGTGAGTGAGATTGGCTTTACGCCGCTTTCAGCAATATTCCAGCAATATCACGGTATAGTGTGATATGAAAGCATCACTTCCAAAACGAATCTATCGTGGCGAAATCTGAGTGAATAAATCTAGTGAATAAGATTTATATCATGATTGGGACACCATAAATGGGCATTACACAGTTTACCCACGTTGGGATCCAACCCGTATCTGTGGAGTGACGAGCAAACGCTGTAACCACAAGGCTCCCCCTCGCACCTGTACATCTGAATTTGTCCAGAGTACTACTTTTAACTCTGATCCGACACACTGGATACACGAGGATGCGATGATTTGGACCATCATCTTGGACAAGCGTGTCAATTACCTAGATCAAAGTCCACTTTTTGAACAGTGAGTGAGTGAGTGAGTATGGTTTTACGCCGCTTTTAGCAATATTGCAGCAATATCACGGCGGGGGACACTAGAAATGGGCTTCACACATTGTACCCATGTGGGGAATCGAACCCGGGTCTTCGGCGTGACGAGCGAACGCTTCTTTTTGAACAGAAACCCAGACCTTGGTACCGGTTAGTGGACACTCTTGCCTCGGGACCACTTGGTCATGGCGACACACAATCAGACAAGTCACGCTTGAGACACCATTGCGGTTGTTCTATGAATATGAAGCAAGCAAACGGCTTGGAGATATAGCGGTGTATATTATACAGGAAGAATGTTGTTTAGATCTCGGTGGATGGTTGTTGCATGTGATTATGTTCATCAAGTTGTAAAACAATTACGTCAATGTGATATACATGAATGTACATATTGTATTTTGTAAAGAACAACTCGTACACGATATGATGTCGTCATCTGTAAAAGAAAACGTAATTTTCAAATATATGGAATAACTAAAAGAACAACATATTGTAAATGATAACATGTGACAAAATTAAAATTCAGCTGTTTCATCTGTTTACAAATGAAATGAGTTCGGTTGGGGAAATTTGGAATGTACAGTGAATACAAAATATTGCGTGTCAAGGTGAATGGGAATGGTTTTACGCCACACTATTACAGCAACAACAGGGGATACCAGATATTGTAACCATATGGGGAATCGAACCCACTCCTTTGGCGTGGCGAGCCAAGGCTTTTACTACAAAACTACCAAATCGTCCTTATTCTACAAGAAAATGTTGGAAATGAAACACTTTCACTGTCTCAGTGATGATACAGTGGCGGTGGGGTAGCCTAATGGTTAAAGCGTCGGCTCGTCACGCTGACGACCCGGGTTCGAATCCCCACATAAGCACAATGTGTGAAGCCCATTTATGGTGTCCCCCGCCGTGATATTGCTGGAATATTGCTAAAAGCGGCGTAAAACCCAACTCACTCACTCTCTCACTCAGTGATGATACGATAAGGGTCCAAATACTGACTACAACAAAACAACGCAGTCCCTGATATAAATACAATCTTTTCTTTCATGAAATAATCTCTTTGGTTGACTTCGTTGTATCATCCGCGTCTCTGTCAAGTATACCACTCAAAAGAAGTAAAGGACCCTTGATTGTTTCACATTACTATAGGTAATAATTCATACCATGACATATTAACTATAGTCACATGTAGGGTGGGCTTTAGTTTCTTTTGCTGACACCAAGTCTGATACCATTTGTGATTATTAATGTAATAAAATGGGAATGTCTAACGAAAACTATGAACATGAAATGATTATAATTACGATATTACAAGTCGGTAATCTCAAACCGGGTCGAAAATAACGCAAAAAACAGGGTGCAAAAGCCTGGAGCGGATCACAATAAATCAGAATTAAATGCTTTCTCATCATATTTTCAGCAGGATGGGACTAGGAACTATACATATGTCACCTTGATAATGCAATTCTAAATACCGTTAACAAATGATATGCCATAATTATCAGTGACACAACTAAATTAAGAATATATACGCATGAAGTACATATACTGACACACATTGGAATCACGTAATCAACTCAAACAAGAAAAGATTTTAGCAGTAAATATATACATTTGGGTGACAGGGTGTTAATTTGTGACAAAATAATATTGTTGTGTTTGATTATCTTACGTCAACATAATTTGATATTTGTGGCAATTTTGCAAGTTCGAATATAGTGTTTCAGTATACGTATATACAAGTATCAATATAAGTGAATATTGCCTAATGGTGCAGGGCAGCGTATCCTGGAAACAAAACTTCATGACGTGACGTCGTGTTGCAGATGTGCAGTAGATGCAGAAGCTGTGCTAGCCATGTAAAGTTATATACAGTGAAATCCCCGTTGCACGGGAAACAGGGTTTTGTGGTTAATCGTCCTGTTTAACAAAGTTCCGGATTAACGAATCTGTCGAGGAATAATGTTCTTGTTTATATCTAAATGTTTCAGTTATCATCTGGAAAACCGTTTTTACATGAACAATAATTCCGCTAGGGAATAACCTGTGTCCCTGGAAAGCCATATATAAGTCATAGAAACAGAACAGCGGAATCACGAGGAACATGTAGGATTCTCACAGTGCCATTACGAAACACATTGATATAAACATAGTTCTTCAACAGTGCCTTCTTAAAACTGTATCTAGTTGACACCGGGTGTCCCACGAAACAGTGCTGCTATACGAGTGGTGGCATGTCGTTTGGGTAACACATGTGAACATTCTTCAGTGCAAGGAATCACGATGTTATCAATCTTCAGGACTAATAAGTAACGCCAAATGGCCAGTGCCAAGTTTTCTATGTAATCACAAGGTAGCCACGGTGCCTACGTCACTGGGTTGTTCTGTATGGTAAGGTTCAAATCCGAGAATCCCATAGGGTTCTTGTGATCTTCCTCTTCCAAGGGTGCCAAGTCATCTGGGAATACAGAGAGATGATTCATCAACGCACCTTATTGAGCCAGTTATTGTGTAACAAATAACACTGCATGAACCCAAAGCTCCTAAAGATATATAATGCTGGCTTTAGCAAAATTACAACCAATTCCCTGTCTGAAAGATCAACCAATAATACATTCAAGAAAATACTCTCGTTATATTCACAGAAGGTATTTGAGACAAGCGGAATGAAATGTAGATTCCCGGTTGTTTCATCTCAGAAAAGAACCAACTTAAATTCAGTCAAAGCATCTGGTTGGTAAGCCACTATCCTACATGACGTCTTCAGTCCACAACAATCGACCATGCTCTCTTTTAAACAAAAATCAAAACCGTAATTTGGTCAAAGTTACAGAATTCAAGGCCTCAGTAAAGCCTTTAATGTTTTCATGAAGATCACGTGGATGATATTTCCACATGTGATACAGTCCGGTCAAATTTCCTATTTTGATTTGTACCATACGTTCCTGTAGGAAAATCAAGTTCTATGGATAGTCAACTTCTTTATTGCAATGAGTGCGACGTTTCGGTGTAGGTACTAACACCGTTTTCAAGCAAGGTACTAACACCGAAACATCGCACTCATTGCAATAAAGATGACTATCCATTGAACTTGGTTTTCCTTCATCTATACAACTTCTAAACTGCCTCTAAAGGAACATATGTTCCTGTGTTATTTCATGTGGACAACTGGCTTGCATTTACAAGCGAAAACCTACTACCATCACTATTTGAATGTGAGTTCATAGTCATGATACTGTTGGAATCGTATAATTGACCGTTTAGACCGGCTTTGGTCGCAGACATTTTGCATACACATTCGCTTCGTCACACATCCCCAAAGAACTTTTCTTAGGCGCTTCACCTTACTTTTAAGAAGCAGAATCTTTGTGCTTGTACGCAGTTGGCGCAATTCAAAATGCGTATAAATTATATTTTATCAGTCAGCCAAAGCCCGTGTCACTCGACTGTCTGGTCAAGATGAGATTGTGTTCAGGCTGATGTTGCAGGGGAGGAGATTGTGTTCAGGCTGATGTTGCAGGGGAGGAGATTGTGTTCTCTCTGATGTTGCTGGGGAGGAATACTCCCTTAGACAAGAAACCCGTAGCGGACGCTACTGGTGAAACAGGACTTACTCATTTCGCGAGCACCTAGTGTCATGACTTCTTAACACTGATACATTCGTGCAATTGTCACAGTTATAGTGTTTTTACGCCACGTTAAATATGTTTATGTGCTGACGTTTCAGATTTTCATGTTTCAAACGGATGCTTACTGGTCAACCTGTCAGTATCAACGGTTCCACTTGATGGCATTGAAGTGTGTAGTCTACAAACTCTTGCCAGTTATATTCGGACACTTATCAAAGATGGCGGCCGTGTTTACATTCGACTCGGAACTTTGACGTTGGATTGCGTAAACACCTTTTGCTACTAACCTCTAATATTTTGTCAAGTGGCCTTTCATGGTCAGTACTTCTCGGATCCTTCCTGGAATGCTCTCATACAGGCTTTGAACATACTCCACAGACACAGTTTCCCAGACACGGTGAATTTCCTCGAAAAGTTCATTAACGGTGGTGATGTCCCGATTGCAGTTTTCTAATGATTTCTTCAATTTCAGCCAAACATTTTCAATTACATTTGAATCAGGGGACTGTGCCGGCCAATCTAACAAGGGGATTTCATTTTCTTCCATGAAGGATGTGGTAATACGAGCCCGATGAACGGGGGCATTGTCATCTTGGAATATGAAGTTACTTTGAGGGAAATGCCTGGCTACAACAGGCCACAGATTGGAATCTATTATGTCGAATATATTTGCAGCATTTATGTTGCCATCCACAGTCACAAGCGTTCCTACACCGTGAAATGTAACGCAATCCCAGATCATAATTTTGACGACATGTCCAGTAGGTGGGCACACACATTCTGGTCTATACTTTTCGTCAGTTTTTCTCCTCAAATATATTCTTATATTTTCACCAATAGCCACCTGCGATTAGTCTGAAAAAAAACCAGTTCTCCAAAAGTTCTCAACAGTTTTGTTTTTCATTTTTCGACACCAAATTCTTCTGTTTATGTCTTTTACCACCATTTTCTTCTTTGTAATCCGTCTAAAAGATCCATTTGAATCCAAAACACGTTGAACAGTTCGTGTGGATACTGATACAGCTTTGCTATTCTTAAATTCACTTGTAATGTCCCTCAAATTCTTCCTACGATTATTTTTCGTGACCTGCAAAATGTTAGCACAATTTCTTTCATTCAGCGATTTTCTCTTTGGCCGTCTTCGACGATTTTCGACCGAGCCAGTCGATTGAAATTTCTTCAGAGACTGAATAGTAGACTTGGGTATCTCTAATATATCACTAATTTTCCGAACACTTGATCCAATCTGTTATAATTTTACAATACCTCTTTTTCAAGTGACCCGTTAATTCTTTACTTTTCGCCCCATCGCCTCAAACGTCGATGCGTAGTCAATGTAAACAAGCAGACGACAAATCGACCACATCACGTGACAAAGCTTTCGTCAAGGGGCATAATCGCGAAGTAGATGTCTACTGGCGCTTGAACGCTGTAACGAGCGCCTCAAAGATTACCCATTCAACACGTAACGCTACGGACCCCGGAAGTGTCGGAATATAACTGGCACGGGTCGGCGCGCGCACGCAAGCACGCACGCACGCACACACACACACACACGCGTAGATGCTGGACATATAGAGTACAGATACGATACCTATTCTAATCCTAATAGCCTCGCTGTGCCAATTAGTTCTGATTGCATTTGGCTATTCAAGCAGGAAGATGTCAGTTAGAACTAGACGCAGGTGACTATCCAGTACAAGCTACTGTGTTGTAGAGTGCTATTCCAACAGGTAACGTCCAATGATGCAATGGCACCCCATTAGACAGAGGTGTATTGATAAATGCGGTGTATAAAATTGGAATATGTTCGGATGAATCTTACATTCTTTCAAGTAGCAAAGATTTTTCAACATTATGTTAACAACGGTGTATATATTATACCAACAGTGGTGTCAATATTATGTCAGCAATGATCTCTGTATTATACCAACAATGGTGTCAATATTATGTCAACAGTGGGGTCTATATTACACCAACAATTGTGTCAATATTATGTCAACAATGACCTCTGTACTATACCAACAATGGTGTCAATATTATGTCAACAATGACCTCTGTACTATACCAACAATGGTGTCAATATTATGTCAACAATGATCTCTGTACTATACCAACAATGGTGTCAATATTATGTCAACAATGATCTCTGTACTATACCAACAATGGTGTCAATATTATGTCAACAATGACCTCTGTACTATACCAACAACAATGGTGTCAATATTATGTATGTCCACAATGACCTCTGTACTATACCAACAATGGTGTCAATATTATGTCAACAATGACCTCTATGGTGTCAATATTATGTCAACAATGACCTCTGTACTATACCAACAATGGTGTCAATATTATGTCAACAATGATCTCTGTACTATACCAACAATGGTGTCAATATTATGTCAACAATGGTGTCTGTACTATACCAACAATGGTGTCAATATTATGTCAACAATGACCTCTGTACTATACCAACAATGGTGTCAATATTATGTCAACAATATGTACTATACCAACAATGGTGTCAATATTATGTCAACAATGGACCTCTGTACTATGACATCTGTACCAACTATCAACAATGACAACTATACCAACAATGGTGTCAATATTATGTCAACAATGACCTCTGTACTATACCAACAATGGTGTCAATATTATGTCAACAATGACCTCTGTACTATACCAACAATGGTGTCAATATTATGTCAACAATGATCTCTGTACTATACCAACAATGGTGTCAATATTATGTCAACAATGATGTCTGTACAATATTATGTCAACAATACCAACAATGGTGTCAATATTATGTCAACAATGATCTCTGTACTATACCAACAATGTGTCAATATTATGTCAACAATGTACTATACCAACAATGGTGTCAATATTATGTCAACAATGACTCTGTACTATACCAACAATGGTGTCAATATTATGTCAACAATGACCTCTGTACTATACCAACAATGGTGTCAATATTATGTCAACAATGACCTCTGTACTATACCAACAATGGTGTCAATATTATGTCAACAATGATATCTGTACTATACCAACAATGGTGTCAATATTATGTCAACAATGACCTCTGTACTATACCAACAATGGTGTCAATATTATGTCAACAATGATGTCAACAATGGTCTCTGTACTATACCAACAATGGTGTCAATATTATGTCAACAATGACCTCTGTACTATACTAACAATGGTGTCAATATTATGTCAACAATGACCTCTGTACTATACCAACAATGGTGTCAATATTATGTCAACAATGATGTCTGTACTATACCAACAATTGTGTCAATATTATGTCAACAATGCTATCTGTACTATACCAACAATGGTGTCAATATTATGTCAACAATGGTGTCTATATTACACCAACAATGGTGTCAATATTATGTCAACAATGGTCTCTGCATTATAACCTGGTTTATGTCAAATATGCTTCGGTAAGCCTGAAATGATTATTTGTGAACTTCGAGTGTTGTTTGATCAACTCACGTATCTGGAACTATATGGAACGTTACCACATATTAGTGTTATTCACGAACATCGAGGACAACCACACAAAGAGCAAGGTAGGAATCGTACATACCATTTGAGGGGAAAGCACTGTCACACGAATATTGCATACCATTAGAAGAGAAAATACTGTGAGGGTCATCAAAGTCATCGGGAGCCGACTGAGGTCGGCGGTATGGGTTGCTGCTTCTCCACGACAGTCGACTGCCCGGTTTGAGGAAGTGCACAGCGCCGAAGATGCCGAGGATGAAGACAACGATGACAATGAACACAATCAGGACAACCATCCCTGTGCTCAGTCTTTTATGAGCCTTGGCGATACTGGCGCTGAAGTCTGAAAAATCCTCATAATGTAAATTCAGTTTATTCATGCATTTAAAACACATTTGATGGTAAGGGATCGAAGACAACATGATGTCTGTACTGGCCATAAGTACAAGAGGTACAAATATCGAGAGAAACCTAAGACCAAGTATCTCTAATTCAATATAAGCGCGAATTGGATGAACATGCCCCAACGTTGCCATTAAAAAGATCTCCAGAATGCTCATTTCGTTAAGGGCACTTCCAGGGGTAAGCTTAATTGGCCAAATTCTATCTGATATCTTTAGCCAAACCATCCCTAACAAATTTCCAGACCCGCTCTCCATGCTGTTCCAGAAAGACATCATTTTCAAACCAAATCACAGACCAACATCTACAGATGCCACATCAGCTTCAGCATCAAGTTCGGACAACTAGAAGCTGGCGTTTACATGTCCACTGCTTAGTTTCCCAAATACATAAATCAGAGGGCATAACGAGAAGGCAGCCAAGTGAAGCACACATCGTTCCATGATGATAACCAGTTTCGAACTAACCCCTAAAACTTAGTTCCTATTTTAGCTTGCTGTAACTGTTGTGTTTAGAAAAAGGGTATACAACGTACTGCTCACTCGGACTCGGAGGTACACGATCTGCACATTATGTCCCTGTCCTGTTTCAAACACAGTTACACAAAATCAAATATATAATTACTGGGTGGTCAACGTACGTATCTGTTTTTACAAAACCATAAAGTCACAGCTGCCAAATGTCTCAATCTGCTCAAGAGGCTGCTGGTTGAACGACTGATTCTGATTTGGTGGAACGTACAGTGTCCAGTAGGGGGTGTATAACCCCTTTCCTAACATGATACATGTCAGCATAAATGTATTTTGTCTTGGGTAAAACGAGCAAACCACCTTTTTCAAAATCCTTGATCTACCCATGAAACATATTCCATTTCACTTCTCGTTTCGGTGAAACAAAGTTCCTTCCATTTTCAATTTTCAATTTTTTTAAAGCTTTTGCAAATATTCCTTTATTTTTGTGATTGAAATGAAGCAGAAATGCATAGTCATTAAAGTTCTATCACACAGCAAGTCTCGTGCAGTTGCAGCGCTTATCGATCAAACACTAACATTTTTCAAATCCTCCTTATCAAAATATAATATACATATACACCTCGCTTTAACATACAAGGAAGGGAATCATACCCAATACCTTATAATGTGCACAGTACAATGCAAACATGAGACAGGGATTATTGTGAAATCAGTAATGTTTTCAGAGACTTTTCATTTTACCATTTAACAACACAATATTACTACACGGTGATTTGGGGCTACTCTTCAGTCGCAAACCCTCTGAATAACCCATCAAAATCCGTATTCTCCTTAATCACTGCAGAATGGTGTATAACCTAGAGTAGCTAAGCAGGATATTGAGATCCGTGGAGTTGTAATATTCGCGCGCAATCATTTTAGAAAAGCCATCGATCTGAGAAGGATAATCGATTATATTTTACGTGAACCACTTATGTCGAGTTGGTTGTGTTCCCTGCTGTCAGTATGGTTGTATATTTGTTGTGTTCAGCTCCACAGTGCCCCAGTTGTCAGGGAACGTGTCGAGTTGGTTGTTCTGTATGTTCTATGTTGTCCATATGGTTGTATATTTGTTGTGTTCAGCTCCACAGTGCCCGAGTGACCAGGGAACGTGTCGAGTTGGTTGTTCTGTATGTTCTATGTTTTCCATATGGTTGTATATTTGTTGTGTTCAGCTCCACAGTGCCCGAGTGGCCAGGGAACGTGTCGAGTTGGTTGTGTTCCCTGTTGTCAATATGGTTGTATATTTGTTGTGTTCAGTTCCAGTGCCCCAGCTGCCAGGGAACGTGTCGAGTTGGTTGTGTTCCCTTTTGTCTTTATGGTTGTATATTTGTTGTGTTCAGTTCCAGTGCCCGAGTTGCCAGGGAACGTGTCGAGTTGGTTGTGTTCCCTGCTGTCAGTATGGTTGTATATTTGTTGTGTTCAGCTCCACAGTGCCCGAGTTGACAGGGAACGTGTCGAGTTGGTTGTTCTGTATGTTTTCTGTTGTCAGTATGGTTGTATATTTGTTGTGTTCAGCTCCACAGTGCCCGAGTTGCCAGGGAACGTGTCGAGTTCGTTGTTCTGTATATTCCCTGCTGTCAATATGGTTGTATATTTGTTGTGTTCAGCTCCAGTGCCCCAGCTGCCAGGGAACGTGCCGAGTTGGTTGTGTTCCCTTTTGTCTTTATGGTTGTATATTTGTTGTGTTCAGCTCCAGTGCCCGAGCTGCCAGGGAACGTGTCGAGTTGGTTGTGTTCCCTGCTGTCAGTATGGTTGTATATTTGTTGTGTTCAGCTCCACAGTGCCCGAGTTGCCAGGGAACGTGTCAAGTTGGTTGTGTTCCCTGTTGTCAGTATGGTTGTATATTTGTTGTGTTCAGCTCCACAGTGCCCGAGTTGCCAGGGAACGTGTCGAGTTGGTTGTGTTCCCTTTTGTCAATATGGTTGTATATTTGTTGTGTTCAGTTCCAGTGCCCCAGCTGCCAGGGAACGTGTCGAGTTGGTTGTGTTCCCTTTTGTCTTTATGGTTGTATATTTGTTGTGTTCAGTTCCAGTGCCCGAGCTGCCAGGGAACGTGTCGAGTTGGTTGTGTTCCCTGCTGTCAGTATGGTTGTATATTTGTTGTGTTCAGCTCCACAGTGCCCGAGTTGCCAGGGAACGTGTCGAGTTGGTTGTGTTCCCTGTTGTCAGTATGGTTGTATATTTGTTGTGTTCAGCTCCACAGTGCCCGAGTTGCCAGGGAACGTGTCGAGTTGGTTGTTCTGTATGTTCCCTGTTGTCAGTATGGTTGTATATTTGTTGTGTTCAGCTCCACAGTGCCCGAGTTGCCAGGGAACGTGTCGAGTTGGTTGTGTTCCCTGTTGTCAGTATGGTTGTATATTTGTTGTGTTCAGCTCCACAGTGCCCGAGTTATCAGGGAACGTGTCGAGTTGGTTGTTCTGTATGTTCCCTGCTGTCAGTACGGTTGTATATTTGTTCTGTACAGTTCCCCAGTGCCCGAGTTGCCAGGGAACGTCTCAAGTTGGTTGTGTTCCCTGTTGTCAGTATGGTTGTATATTTGTTGTGTTCAGCTCCACAGTGCCCGAGTTGATCAGGGAACGTGTCGAGTTGGTTGTTCTGTATGTTCCCTGTTGTCAGTATGGTTGTATATTTGTTGTGTTCAGCTCCACAGTGCCCGAGTTGCCAGGGAACGTGTCGAGTTGGTTGTGTTCCCTGTTGTCAGTATGGTTGTATATTTGTTGTGTTCAGCTCCACAGTGCCCGAGTGGCCTGGGAACGTGTCGAGTTGGTTGTTCTGTATGTTCCCTGCTGTCAGTATGGTTGTATATTTGTTGTGTTCAGTTCCCCAGTGCCCGAGTTGCCAGGGAACGTGTCAAGTTGGTTGTGTTCCCTGTTGTCAGTATGGTTGTATATTTGTTGTGTTCAGCTCCACAGTGCCCGAGTGGATTGGGAACGTGTCGAGTTGGTTGTTCTGTATGTTCCCTGTTGTCAGTATGGTTGTATATTTGTTGTGTTCAGCTCCACAGTGCCCGAGTTGTCAGGGAACGTGTCGAGTTGGTTGTTCTGTATGTTCCCTGCTGTCAGTATGGTTGTATATTTGTTGTGTTCAGCTCCACAGTGCCCGAGTTGCCAGGGAACGTGTCGAGTTGGTTGTTCTGTATGTTCTGTTTTCCATATGGTTGTATATTTGTTGTGTTCAGCCCACAGTGCCCGAGCTGCCAGGGAACGTGTCGAGTTGTGTTTGTTCAGTATGGTTGTATATTTGTTCAGCCCAGTGCTGTCAGGGTATGGTTGTATATTTGTTGTGTTCAGCTGGTTGTATATTTGTTCCCGAGTTGCCAGGGAACGTGCCAGGGAAGTTGGTTGTGTTCCCTGTTGTCAGTATGGTTGTATATTTGTTGTGTTCAGCTCCACAGTGCCCGAGTTATCAGGGAACGTGTCGAGTTGGTTGTTCTGTATGTTCCCTGCTGTCAGTATGGTTGTATATTTGTTGTGTTCAGCTCCACAGTGCCCGAGTTGCCAGGGAACGTGTCAAGTTGGTTGTGTTCCCTGTTGTCAGTCAGTATGGTTGTATATTTGTTGTGTTCAGCTCCACAGTGCCCGAGTGGCCTGGGAACGTGTCGAGTTGGTTGTTCTGTATGTTCCCTGCTGTCAGTATGGTTGTATATTTGTTGTGTACAGCTCCCCAGTGCCCGAGTTGCCAGGGAACGTGTCGAGTTGGTTGTGTTCCCTGTTGTCAGTATGGTTGTATATTTGTTGTGTTCAGCTCCACAGTGCCCGAGTTGACTGGGAACGTGTCGAGTTGGTTGTTCTGTATGTTCCCTGCTGTCAGTATGGTTGTATATTTGTTGTGTTCAGCTCCACAGTGCCCCAGTTGTCAGGGAACGTGTCGAGTTGGTTGTTCTGTATGTTCTATGTTGTCCATATGGTTGTATATTTGTTGTGTTCAGCTCCACAGTGCCCGAGTGGCCAGGGAACGTGTCGAGTTGGTTGTTCTGTATGTTCTATGTTGTCCATATGGTTGTATATTTGTTGTGTTCAGCTCCACAGTGCCCGAGTTGCCAGGGAACGTGTCGAGTTGGTTGTGTTCCCTGTTGTCAATATGGTTGTATATTTGTTGTGTTCAGTTCCAGTGCCCCAGCTGCCAGGGAACGTGTCAAGTTGGTTGTGTTCCCTGCTGTCAGTATGGTTGTATATTTGTTGTGTTCAGCTCCACAGTGCCCGAGTTGTCAGGGAACGTGTCGAGTTGGTTGTTCTGTATGTTTTCTGTTGTCAGTATGGTTGTATATTTGTTGTGTTCAGCTCCACAGTGCCCGAGTTGCCAGGGAACGTGTCGAGTTGGTTGTTCTGTATATTCCCTGCTGTCAATATGGTTGTATATTTGTTGTGTTCAGCTCCAGTGCCCCAGCTGCCAGGAACGTGTCGAGTTGGTTGTGTTCCCTTTGTCTT